TAGATTGACGTTCGAGTTATCTACTCAATCCATGCAGTTCCGTGTCAAAATGATGGCTGCATTGACAGGAACCTGATCATGGTTACATTGCCATCCACAGGGAAACTGTTGAAGATAATAAAGGGATGAAAGCCCGAAAAGCACGAGCGGATGTATGAAGAATTGTAGTTTCTTCACAATTTCGTGACATCATCCCTGCCGTTCTGGACCGCTTAGTGTTGCTTATTTGCCATTCCAACCTAGCTAGAATGCGTACTCAGAGGGACGAAAGACGCAAGTGGTGTCCCTTTGTAAGGTTTTTAAATGTGCATAGTACTACATGTAGTGACAATCTCATCGAATTCTTCGATAGGAGCAACACCAGGACCACGGCCCAGCCAACAATTGGACCTTGACCTAGCCCAACACAACGGACTCACCTGGCCTGGACCTAGAACCACACATGTTCCAGAGTTCCAGACACCGGTACGGCACATACCTAGGCAAGGCGCAAAATCATAAGAAAATTTGCTCCAGAAAGATATTGCCCAAAGGGCTGCAAAGGGGATTGGTGGACCATGGACCATGGCCACTGAAAAACGCTTACGGATTGAATGATTCGATTCTGTTCTGTTCGGAGAGGAGGCTCACTCCTTCGTTGCTTCGATCAATCCTCTAACTCCGCGGGTGGATCTACATGTAGCTACTGGTAGAGTAGCTAGCAAGGTGCCGGTTGCTGGTGGGCTGGGCTGCTCCGTGATCCCGAGCTGTGTGCTACTACAGGAAAGTCCCGCAAAAGCTGAATTCTGCGATACTCTCTTAATTAAACAACCTGAACTGTTGAATAAGGACGTTAAGTGTTGAAAAAGTGTTGAAAAAGTGTTGATTAAGTGTTGAAAAAGTGTTGATTAACTGTTGATTCTCCTTCAGCAACTGGACCTCTGTGGAAACGTCATTCGTGGCAAATTACTTAAGAGACGATACACCAAGGCTTAGGAGACGATCGAAATGATTTAAGAGACGATAGCTTTCGTCTCCTATATTTAGGAGACGATTCATTAGGAGACGTTCCATTTAGGAGACGATCGTTTCGAAATAGGAGACGATCCGAAAGATTTAGGAGACGAAACCATACAGTTTACATGGTGCACTTAGGAGACGATCCGTTGAGAATAGGAGACGATCCGTTGAAAATAGGAGACGATTTAAGAGGAGACGAAAGATTTAAGAGACGATCCGTTTCGTCTCCTATTTTTAGGAGACGAAATCCATTAAATAGGAGACGATCAAAAGGATTTAGGAGACGATCGGTTGCACGACTCGAGTTTCCACAGAGGTCCTGTTGAAAATACTGTTGAAAATTTGTACATAATTTTCAACACTTTTACTGCAAACTACTAGTACTGGATTCAACAGGTGTTGAAAACAGTGTTGAACTGTATTCAACAGTGTTGAAAAAGTGTTGAAAAGGTGTTGAAAAAGTGTTGAAAAAGTGTTGACTAACTGTTTAACGAATCTCTTGACTGTTGAAACAAATATCAACACTTTTACATAGCCTTTCAGCGATTTCAGCATTTGCGGGACTTTCCAGTAGCGGTAACGCAGAAACCGGACAAATGTGTCGTACCGGTAAAAGCTGCTAGTTTTTGCGGTACGTCGTAGCGCAGAAACCGGACAAATGTGTCGTAAGCTGCCGAAGCAGAGCAACCAAAAGAGTCCCGCAAGCAGCAAGCAGGATCTCCTCGGAACACAAAGGAACTAGAGACTGGCACGAGGCAACAGAACTGTGGCTTGATGGGTTGACTCTGTCAATCCCAGTAAATTATATTTATAATACTCACTTTTTGCTGCAATTGATAAAACCAACTGGTGATGAAATTAGCATTGAATGTTGCATGCCCTCTTTCCTAACCAGACAGGCCACTGGCAGAGATGGAGCGCAGCTTCGGGCTGAACCGTACGACACCAGGAGCGTTCCTCAATCGTGCATGACTTTAAATCCGACCCTAATTTAGGGTCGGTTTGGGGGAATCCGTCCCTAAATATAGGGACGGTTTCGAAACCCGACCCTAAATCGAAACCCGTCCCTAAATTAGGGACGTTTTTTCAGAAACCGTCCCTATTTTTCAGAAACCGTCCCTATTTTTAGGGTCGGTTTCGAAACCCGACCCTAATATTGGTGCGTTTTCAATGTATTTACCAGGCAGTCCCGTTTCTATTTAGGGACGGTTTCGAAACCCGACCCTAAATCGAAACCCGTCCCTAAATTAGGGACGTTTTTTCAGAAACCGTCCCTATTTTTCAGAAAACGTCCCTATTTTTAGGGTCGGTTTCGAAACCCGACCCTAAAGGGAATCCGACCCTAAATCCGACCCTATTTTAGGGTTGGTTTCATGCACGATTGAGGAACGCTCCAGTACTTCGTACCAGTACTGTACTCCTTACCAGTACTGTACGAGCAGCTTCGATTTATCTGATTCAAACGCGTGCCGGCTTTTCTTGTACACCTCTACGAGTGCTGGTGTGAAATGTACGAAGAAGCTCGGCTCGCGTTTGAATTATTAGAAACGAAGCTGCCTGTACTCGTAAAAGAACCGAGAACCCATCCTCAAATCAGTCAGAGAGCATGATTTACAAGCCGGTGAAGCTGGCAGTCAAACTTCAGCATTTAGGGTTAGATCTTTCTTTGAGGAAGAACATTTATTTTGATGCATCGCCAAAAAGCACACTCCATCATACACAAAGTTCGAACGGATCTGGGATCTTCGCTTGCTAACTTTGCTCCGTCAATCACCATCGTCGGTGCAAAGTCGACGATGACAAGAACCTACCGTACATTGAGGACCTCAATCACCCTTTCGTTTCTCTTCAACCTCAGTCTTGATAATCACAGATAGATAAGAAACGAGCTGGAAACGTCTCGGGACCGTTTGAGGGCGCAAGACAAGAAACGAATTGGAAACGTCTCTTCCCATGTCGACCAAACCAAACCATATGAATCGACAACGCACACAAATCCAGAATCTTCTATCATAGTTAAAACAAACAACACGTGGAAACCAGGACGACAATGATGAACCCTTTGGATCTTTCTTGCGCTGCTGATAATGTTAGACGATCCACTGCTTGTCGAGATCCTGAGGCTTGTCGCACGGAGGAAGAGTTGACACATCATCATGATATCAACACCGGCAGCATTAGTAAAGCGGTTTTTGATCAAAGTGCGGCCGTGTTCGATCCTGCTCAATGCCTGGCGCTTGATAAGTCTCTCTTTGATGAAACCTTGGAAGACCAAGAAAGTAGTATCTTGTCAGAAGATGAACAGGAACGAGGAAAGCCATGGCTAGGACCAGAAAAAAACGCCACGTCTCCTCTTCCCATTCCAATCCAACACGTCAATCCCATGGCGAGCTCTCTGCAGCGACCAGCAGTACAATTTGCAGATACTGTGGTGGAGTACAATGATGAAGAAGATTTGGAAGTGGGCAAGACATGCTGTAACTCCTGGAATCGACCAAACTCCATTGGGGACCTTGTGACTGCTATTCGCAATCGACAAGTAGTTGACCGAGATGGATCTGTGGAACGCCGCATACAAGACTTTGAACGTGCCCGTACGTTGCGCCAGGACAAGTACCGGGCATCACGTCCATGGGGCATCTTGGGCATGTTTGATCATTTGTCAGGTATTCGCGACGATCTGCAATGGGCGGAACATGCGGCAGCACGAAGAGCCCAGCAGGAACCATACGTGGGATGGGCTGACTACATGAAGGACCATGAACGCAACTACCACCGTCTCCCGGTATTCGTCATTGCCGTGACAATCATCAGCACGGTCATGTTTATCTACACAATGTCGCTGGCAGATTGGAAGTTTGCTCCTCCAAAGGTAAGGATTGTGCAACATTGGTGTGCGGGGATATTGTGCTCATTGTATGCCAGAGATCCTCACATACATTGTTATCTGGTTTCGCTTCAGGTCAACCCAATGATTGGTCCACCACCAGAGGCACTTTTGGAAGCGGGCGCTTTGAACAGCTATCTTGTCGTTGTTGAAGGACAATGGTACGTTCTCTATTTTGGTTGTTTTCGAGGTCGTTGCTTGTCTCATGAATGAATCGCATCCTCAACCCACACTGTCATTCCCGTCTGATCATTGCAGGTGGAGATTGTTTGCTCCTTTGGTTCTCCATGCTGGGATCATCCATTTTGTATTCAACATGCTGGCAATCTGGTTTATTGGCGGCCCACTAGAAAAGATCCACGGTTCTACAAACGTTGGTTGCCTGTTTGTCATATCTGCTGTGGGAGGAAATGTCTTGAGTGCCGCATTGCAGCCAAATGTGATCAGTGTTGGAGCTTCTGGCGGCATTTTCGGATTGGTGGGTGTCTGCTTGGCAGATATCTTTGTCAATTGGGATCTTCTATTCCTGAACCTTGGCAACGAAGATGAACGAACCCCCTGCAACAATATACAAGTGCTCTTTTGGCTCTTATTTGATGTTCTTGTCAACTTTATGTTGGGATTGACTCCCTTCATTGACAACTTTGCTCACATGGGAGGCCTGTTCTATGGAATCTTCTACGCACTTCCTCTTGTTGACCGACTTGGTATGCATTTCTTTGGTCAACTGGGATTCTGCTTCAAGCTACAGAACTGTTCTCTACGCGCCTTTGGGTTCATGGCAGGATGTACCCTGCTTTTAGTGAGTTCCCTTCTTCTCCTAAAGAGTGACGGATACAGCTCTCCTTGTGAACGATGCCGATTCATTTCGTGTGCACCATTTCCTTTCTGGAAGGAGGAGAAATGGTGGGATTGCTCTCTGGAATGAAAGAATTTGTTTGGCCAGCGGATTCTCTTGTTCAGAAACTACACAACATGGCGGATTCATCTGTCAGCTCCAGACGCAGTCTACACAAATTGTAATGTAATATTATGCTTTATTATTCTAAATTCCTTTGATGATTTCCAAAGCTTGCACTGGAATTTCTTGACTATTATTCTAGCTAAAACATCCCAGACTTTGTGTCGTGTCTGCAGTGGCCAACATCCCCTCCCTCCCGCTCCTCATGGCCTGTCCTCTCTAGCAAAGTACAGGTACAGTTATGATATCATTTGCCAATCGCCATTGCCTACCGTTTGCCCACAATCCACACCAAAACCTGGCTCGTCCTCCCAAGCTGTCCTCATGCAAGAACCAACTGCCTTCATGCCACATGTACCGGTATCTCACTTGAAACTACAGAACTTGACACTCCGATTGACATATGTTTGTTCGCGCAAGAGAAGTGCCGCCAAACCGCTACTGTACTGTAAGCCATCTTGCTCGTTGCCTCGATAACCCGTAAGATTTATGTTACTCTTCCACAAGCGAACGAATTCCGTTACCTCAAGACCCTAAGAAAAGCTTATTCAATGTGGCTTTTCATTACAAAACGGGAACTGCCATGTGTGTACCGACTCCTTGCCGGCTTTCCATCGCCAAATTGTTCACTTTTTGCTCAATTCTGCGCATTGCAAGAAACCAAGGCGAATGCAGGCCATGGCATGTCTGTTCCGTCAAGTCAAAAGACACCAAGATAGATCAAAGCTTCCTCAGGCTTGCAAGACACCAGTATCCCATCAGTCGTTGGCTTTCTCTAGACACCAGAAATACTAGTAGTGGAAGCTTTGTGAAGGAATACCATGGCTACCCCTCTGAGACAACGTTCCCGCAGTAAGAGCGATCCTGCCTTGGGCTCTACGAATTCAAATAGGACAAGCGCCAATAGCCTTACGAGTAACAGATCCAGTCTGAAGAGCCGTCAATCATCTTCTCCCACCAAGAGAGTGCTCCGTGAAAGTCAGCAAAAGGGCGAGACGGGTAGCAGCAATACACGCAGCGTGTTCAAGTTCGTGGCTGGCCATGACGATGATCAGGTGACGACGACACCCGTGCGACGGTTACTACACGAAAAGGAAAACAACCATAACAACAGCAGTAGCACCAAGACTCCCAACAACAACAACACACCGGATCCATCTCAGCCACGGTTATCGTCAATTTTGTCCTCCGTGGATCGCGTGGTCGTCTTGTCTCGCGAGAAAATCGATACGGTTAGCAGTCCCAATAGTTACAAACCATGTCACTCTACTGGGATACTGGGAATTCGGCCTCCAGAAGAAGATATCGTCAGTGTTATCACGCCCATTCGGCTGTTGCAACCGGCGCTGGAGCAAAAACAGAAACGAGATAAACCGGCCGAATCTACAGACGACACGAGGAACGCACCAACACCGGTGACTCCAGATCAAAAACCGAAAGTTGCTGCTGACGCCGATGAGACAGCTGATACGAACCAATGTCAGGCAATGGTGTTGTATGCGACTCCTCGACAACCTATCGTTTCTCCCTTGCGGATGATATTTGGTTCTCGAGGAGCCTCCAACTGGCAAAAATCTTCGTCTCGATACGTCTCCACGAAGTCAATGGTTTCCCTGCTTTTTGGGTTTCTCTCATCTTACCTTCCATTGATTCAGGCATGGATCAAGCAATCCAAATCTTCCAGTAGTCGTCGCCGACGATCGAGTATTACCAATTCGAATACGTCTCTACCGACAACAACTATCCATGTGGATGATGGTGATGCGGATTTGTCTGACAGCACCACCAGTCTAGTGATCTATAATGACAAGGACAGCAAGCACGACAACCAACAACAACAGCAACAGAAAACAACAGATGCCCTTAAGGAAGCTGCTGCGCCCCTTCCTGAAGTCTTGTCAGATAACGAAACCAAGTACGGTATTGCCTTGTTCCAACTGCTTTTACTCAAGAACAAGATCATGCTGTGCGAGCAAAATGACGACGCCGACGACAACAGCACTAACTTTAGCAACAAACAAGAGCTTGCCCAATATCTGGAACTCACCGTGCAAACACTCGAGTATTGCATTGAGCTACGAGGAGAAAAACATGCCACTCCCTTGCGCATGGAACTGGCACAAGCCTTGGACGTTCTTGGCGGTCTCTATCGGGACTGCATTCGCGATTATCCACAGGCGTTTGTCTACTACACGAGAGCCTTGGAAACAAAGTCATTCATTTACGGTGCTGAAGCCAGAAACTTGGATTTGGCATCGTCTATGGAAACACTCGGTGTCCTGATGCGAGATCGATTGCCAGGATGCATCCCCGATTCGATTCGTTGCTTTCAGCAGGCACTCACCATGAAACGAAAGGTCTACGAACGATGCTTGCCGCAACCCAATGCCAACAACAAGCAGTGGGCCGAATTGGCACAAACCTATCACAGTTTAGGTTTGGCACATGACATGTCGGCCGACTATCCGAATGCAGTGCTGTACTACGAAAAATCCCTGACCGCACGACACAAACAACAGCAATACCTCAATCACAAATACGGTCATACGCTGCGTCAAGAACGGCGCAAGCAGCAGGCGCTGGCCAAGGCCAACCAAAAACGTGTTGCTACCTTGTTCAATCTGGGTTGCGTTTCGGAAAAGTTGAACAAGTTGGAAGATGCAAGAGCCTACTTGGAGGAAGCGCTGCAGATGCAGTATCAGCTTCACAACACATATCGCCATGTGCTGGCGGATGCTTCGTCGTCAACCTACTCTTTCTCGGAAAGCAACAACGACTACGGCAGTGCTGGCGCTGGTGAGAATAACAGCTTGATTGGGACCCTCTTCCGACTGGCGTCCATATACGAACAGTGCAAAGAGCTTGAAGGGGCCTACAGGTACTACAAAATTGCGCTCGACATTCATTACCAAGCAATGCAAAGTCCCAACAATGCTGCCAAACAAAGTGCAGCCAGGACCCCTCACCCACTCCTGTTGGCGCTCTTGCATGGAGCAGCCACCGCGTCGAACCTATTGGGGCACTACGAAGACTCCTTGTTTGCATACGAGTCGTTGATTGAGACACTGCGGCTCAAAGGAGCCGCAGACAAGCGTCTCCTCATACCAACTTTACACCACTTGGGAATGTTGAACGATGTCCTGGGTCATGTCCAGAAAGCCAGCAAGTACTATCGTCATGCACTCATGCTCGTAGACACCGACAGCAATTGGAAAGAGTCCGCCGTGGCACGCAATATACGAATGAATGTTCTTTGCTTGGCCGACCCGTCCTCGGAAGACCCCAAGCACAAGATCCACGCGCTATCTTCGACACCGACCAAAAGCCCCCGAAACAGCGCCAACGCCAAGAACCATGCTGCCTTTGATCATGTCCGACGCTACTTTTTGGACAACATCAAACGCTACTACAAACGTCAGGATTATGTTCACAAGGATGCTGCTCTGGCAATTACGTACCGCAACGCCGCTCTTCTGTCGGCAAACCGCGTCCGCGGCCTTTCCGATGCTCGCACGTACTACGAACAATACTTGGAAACAGTGTGGTATCATACGTTTAGAGAGGACGAAAACCACAGCCCTCCAAGCAGCGGCGGCAATGACAAGCATACGATTCTATCATCTCGTTGTCTGGTAGTCAGTCAAGCCCTTTATGCCCTAGGCATTCTGGAACGCAAGATGCGTCAGTACGCAGCAGCTCGTCACTATCAAAACGAGGGCCTTATGTTGCTCAACAAAATCAAAAAGCAGGAACTGCAGTACAACGGCGGTTGTACCACCATGACGCAGGCGGAAGCGAAACGACGCGCTAACCTGGCAACTGCAATCGAGAAGGAGGTGAAGTTGCTAAACGGTGGAATAAAGTGGGTGTCCTTCTTGATGGAGTGAATGAGACGAACAACAGGCGAGTCGAGTCGAAAGAGAGCCAACTCTTACTCGTCGCTTCGTCCACATTGATGTGGGTGGCACTGATACTTCATCAGTTAAGCAAGACGTCAATTGCACAAGCCAACGTTTTGATGCTTTCATATCCGGTCGAAAGATTTTGGAACCACAGATTGTAAAGGCTGTTTGTCATCTGTGGTTACCGTGTCAGATGGGAACCTTCTCATGTCGTGGAGAAATGAGATGTTTTCGAGTGATGCATTCCAGCTTCGAGGGCAAATGAAGTGCAGTCGAGTTGGGTGAGTTGAGTCGAGTTGAGTCGAGTCGAGTCCTTCATCTAAAAGCTATCAATTTCATACAGAAAACATAACGAAAATTAACGAATTCATAAATGTGAACGCAAAAACCTCACCGAACCGGTATAGCGATCCACCGCAGTTCCAGGTTGTTGCAAGGGCCAAACCAGTTGTGCCGCTTTCAATGATAACTCTACCTAGTGCATGGCACCTACCTAGTGCATTGCTTTGGCCTTCAGGAGTTGAACTGGCTTCCCTACCCGAAACCAGCCATCGGTACGGAGAAGTGAAACATACACAGTGTAGTGATATCGAAGCTCATCAAAGTCCTGTTGACTCAGACAAAATCGTAGACGATTGGATTTGCCCAAATCAATCGCTTCCCACGAGAGGCACGAAAGCACATGGAAGTGCTTGGATCCTTTTGCCAGGATTTCATCACGAATAGGAGCACGTGCCTCATTTCGCATCAGCAATCTCTCAAACATATGCATCATCAAATCATCTTCGTTTTCCCCCATCCCTTTCTCGATTGGATCTTGTGGCTTCGTTGGTTCCAGCACTAAACCCATGCATTGTACTGTAGGAACATAATCCATAACTTTAACGTCAACGGTAATTTGAATGGTCAATTCGTATTGTTGCAGGGGCTTGGAAGACAGAGTGGCTTCCAGTGGAGATAGAAGAGTTGTTTTGAGAGTTGTTGTTGTTGTTGAATGCTTATTGCCACTTGAGTCTGAAGATCCAGGGTAAATGCACTGATGTCAATCTTCTGTTCTTTCCCTTTGCTCTGAACTGGCAGTGGTGGGTCGTAAGATGGGATGATTGCCTTTGTTGAGAATTGCTGTGAAGACGAAGTGCATAGCATCTCATCGAGAGTACAGGACACCCAGTGGGCTGGATACTTGAGGTGATGCACAAAAAATTTGCGAAGGTGAACAAAGGCCGCAACAGAGTTTGGATAGTGTACCCTGAGGTTTTGGTTGTAGGTTCGCACGGGCGGCAAAATGGTCAAAAGGAAAAGACTCTGCAACCAAGTGCAAAATTCTTCTTTTGACATCATTTTGAAGGCTTTAGGTGACCTTGTCCATAGATAATCCTGCCAGGCACCATCATCGGCATTGCCCAAATACTTCATTCCAAGTAATGCTTCCGCCCTTTGTATGCTCGAAACAGATGTTGTGCTGAATAGGTACTGGGCATAGCTTTCAAATTTTGGGTTGTTGAAAAGAATGTCATGATGAAGATGACAGGAAACTTTTGCTTTGCTTTCATGGAGCAGAGGAAAGATATCCGTGAAGACAGGCAAGACACCAGTGTAGTCCGGGATGTTAGAAAGAAAAACACGGTGGAAGCATTTGGTTCCAGTCTGCCGGTAAGCCTGGCAGATTGAGACAATGTCACCAACATTCCATTCAACTTCAAGAGCAGCTGATTCTGCACCCAGAGATACCAAAGCATGTCCAGCATTCCAGAAGAAGCAACTGGTAAAGTCAAAGAACTCTGTCAGGTCTGGATCGGCCTGTGCACCTTCTTGATCTTCATTGTCCATTGCTCTCATCTGGTTTGCGACAGGGATAGGATCCGAGCCCCACTCAACTTTCATGAAGCCCATCATGAAGTCAATGATAGGCGAAAAATGCAGACCGCCAGAGAATGTAGAATAGTGCATAGGATCAAACATGAATGGATTTGTTGACCATGTTTTCAATATGATATCTTTTGCTTCCATGAGGTCGTCTGGACCAATGCATCCTGCTAGACCTTGCAAGCAGTCTGTTAGACCTTTTCTGGATACTGGGCATCCTTTGTTCTTTTCATAGATTCTTGAAAATGTGTGGTTTTCCGAAAGATGAGAAGGAGGCAGTATCGCCTTTGTGGACTTCAGAAAGGAATGTGACAATGCTATCCCTGGAAGATATAGCTTAAATTTCCGGGAGATGAGCCTTTCATCAAAATCTTCCAAAGTGAGATCTTCATCAGCACCTGCTAGAACAATCCGGATCATATCCTCGTCTGTGGCCCCAGGCGGAAGCATTGTTCGCACAGTTTCCTTGCGTTTTAGGCTCCAACTGTTGATATCGCTCATTTGCTGAAAATATGCATTCCTCTTTGCTGCGGCTTCGGCACGGCGTTCATTCATGAGAGCCTGCTGACTCTGGGATGATGCTGGTTCATCCAACCCATTGTCCAAAGATTCCTTGAAACAGAAAGATGTTTTCAAACTCGCCTTGGCTTGGGGAAGGTCTTTCCACACAGGAGAATGTCGATTGTGGTTCTTGCCTCCCACCTGGACAATCCAATAGGAGAAAATAGGCACAATACTTTCCCAGTCCTTTTCTGAGGTGCACTTCAACCATGGGTAGGATTTTTCAAAGGCTGTGTGGCTTTTAAAAGTCATGAGCTCTTCCATAACTTCAATGGCCATATCTTTGACCCAAGGTGGCATTACATGACTCAAGAGAATGTACTGAAGAACAGCACACCATTGGGAAGCTTTCTTGTTCGTCTTGAGGTCATCTCTGCGCTTGGCAAGCTTGCCAATCTTGTGGAGAATCACTAATGTCACAATAAACTTTGCTTGTGAAGCTCTGTTGATATCGTTGCACACAATGCTAACTTTGACCTTATCCTTGTCACATTGGGCCAATGCTTTGTACTGTACATGAACATCCATAATGGTGCCGAGAACATGTCGCCCATCATTAATACCTGCCATCAAGATGTCCAGGTGAAGACAGTTCTTGAGGTGAATTTGGTGTGAGACATCATAATATCTTCTTTGCCATTGGCCCTTCATCCAAGGCAGACTGGACTTCATTGTGCCCAAATCGGTAATATTCCACAATTGGTTCCATGAGTGCTACACGAAGCAGCCTGACAGGTTGCTTAAGAAGAGCCTCTGGAGTAGGTGGGCACTTGTTTTGAGAAATGTACTGCGAAAACTGCTTTAGCATCTTCTTGCCCCTCTTGGAATATGCCTCATTTTCACAGGTGGACAACTCTTCCAGCATCGTGATGCTGTCCTCAATCTTGTGCCCATAGAAGTGTGCCCGTGCCATTCGCAGGACATTCTTGCAATACAGCGCACGAGATTTCACCTGGAGCTCGGATGAGGTCCCTTCCAATTCTTTCAACACTGTCAAACAGGATTGCGCAAATGTGACAGATTTTGTGTAGCTACCAACTTCAAATCGACAGTTGGATAGATTAGAAAGGAAAACTGCCTTGAGATATACAGTCTCAGGCTGAACGTCGCCCACACAGTCGACGTCATTGTCCTTTAGAAGCTGTGCTTCAACGATCTTGAGCCCTTTCGCATAGAACTTCGACGCTGCTTCAAACTCGCCCCTGGCAAACAGCTTATTGCCTGCATCCTTGATGGATGATGCATCGGCCTTTCGCTTCTGTTTCTCCATGGGCAAACCTTTGTCCGTCCCAAAACTGTTGTGCTCTAACTTACTTTTTGACCCTTCGACGACTTGAAAAGAAAGATCGAGGATTAAGCGCAAAAGTCCCTAACCCTAACAACCAAATTTGGGGGAAAGCTAAAGCGACCCTTGCCACCTCTGAAAACCCAGCAAGCACTGAACTGGGAGTGTGAGGAGTATTGGTCTGGTTTCCCCTTCTCACTAGCCCTCTGGAATCTCAATTTGTAACTCAAAGGTTGCTCTAATGCCCACTGGCTACCAACCGGTCGATACGTACACGAGCTTGTCTACGCTAGTAACTTAACTATTGTAATGCTGCAAGGAGTACAGAAGGCACTTGCCCTTGTCGTTTCCCATTGCCAGGAACTTGCTTTGGGGCGAAAAGTCCGTGCTCCAAACGTACGAAAGGGGCGTTTTGGACGTTGGCCAATTGGAAAAGACAGTCGCCGTTGGTACATGCAGTAGCTTCAATGCATTCTTCTCTCGTCGACTGGACATGGCCATGATCTGCCCGTCATGGTTGAACCGGACCATGTCCGCTGATGTTTGTAGATTCATGATTGCTTTGATGGGTTCTCGTCCATCGGTAATTGTTGTTGTCGAAGTAGCCAATTGTCGTTGTCGAACATGATCTGCGTACAAATTGACCACTCCACTTTCGGCCCCGACTGCCAGATGTTGTCGTGTCGACGTTGCCAGAAAGGATGTAATGGTTCCATCCTGATTTTCGAATCGTTCCACACATTGTCGTGTTTTGACATCCCACCGATAGACATCACCATCACTTCCACTGGCCAACAGATAGTCACCATTGGGTTGCGTAAATGCAATGGCTCGGACACTCCCATTTAATTTGAGATTGGCGAGCCATTGTTTGGAATGTACATCCACGAGAATGACGTATCCATCATTGCCCCCAAATGCAATGAGCTTTCCATCGGGTGACGCGACACATGTTTCCAAGCTGCGTTCTTGTCGTCCTGCAATCTTTGGAATGTAGTCGAGTTTTCCGGCAATGGAATCGTAAATGTAAAAGAAGGGTCGTCGCCCACTGACAACGACCTTGCCCGTGTCTCCCAAGAATGCCGCGCTGTAAATGGGCAACTTGGGAACTGACAAAACCAAAAACAAAAGAGGAATAAAGGAGTGGTCAGTCAGTCAGCACCATAATAAACCAAGGTCTGTCTTGTCTGATGTTCTTACAATGAATTCCATGTACTTTTTCGCTGCCTTCGGCTGTGACCTGAAAGAATCGCAACGTCTTGTCTAACCCGGCCGTCAATAGGAGTGGTTGATCTGGATCGGATCCTGGATGAAAGTGAACGGCTTGTACCACGGCCTTGTTGTAGTCGGATTGATTGGCATCGGGACATCTGACGACACTGAGAATGTTGGGAGCGAGTCGTTTGGTGGAAGACGATGCCCCGTGTTGCAGCAATGGCTGAGACGATAGTTGGATATCAGTATCGTCTTGGTCGTCGTCATCGTCATTCTGTTGTTGTTTGTCTGGTTCCTCCTGCTTGTCGTCATCGTCTAGCCGAGCCCACTGTGTCTGCGCCGTGGCTGCCATGGTACTCTTATAGCGGTTCCTCAATCGCTTTTGCAAATCGTCGCCTCGCAGTGGTTGCGTTTCATCGCGTGTCTTGCGCAATTTTCGCAGACGATTGGTTTCCAGCAGATCCACTTGCAAATCCTCATCGTCTTCGTCAATCCATGCGGGGCCGTCATCGTCAGAATCTCCCGTTTCGTCATCATCATTGTCGGATTCATCATCACTGTCGTCTATTTGCTTTTCGTCTTGTGACTTCTGCTTGTCAGCTTTGTCATTTTTGAGTATTGTGGGTTCCGTTGACTCAGCAAGTTCCACAGGATCGTCTACTCCAGTGCGATCAATTTCAAACATGAGACCAGCATCCTCCTCTGCTTCATCGGAAGGTGTGGATTGCTGTTTTTCTTGGTTGTAGTCGTCTTGTTCGTCCAGAACATCCATTTTCTTGCCAAACAGCAGAGCCGTCAATTGCCGTTCTTCCTCTTCTTCTTTCAACACTTTCTTGGACTTTTCTCGCTTGTGCTTGTGTTTGCGGGGCTTGCTGCTACTCTGGTTGGCATTGTTCCGATCCGTAGGTTCATGCTGCTGGATCAGGGGAGATTCATGAACTTTCTTTCGTTTCTTCTCCTTCCCAGCGTCGCTTCCTGCGCTGCGGTCCGACTGTTTGCTCTTCTTGCCCATGATGAATAAATGAAGGAATAGATCTCTCTGATTTGACTTTGTTAGATAGATAGCTACCGGTAGCTAGCTAGCTAGAGTGGCTCTTCGTCTTCTTCTTCTTCTTTGATGAGCTGACTAAAGGAGATGCGACAACATCAACTTTGCAAAGAAAGAAGGAACAACAATGGATTTCGATTTCGTGGTGTAAACGCAACCTGGGGGCAGACGGCAAGACGCCTCTCTTTTGGGGTTAGGGCTAAACAATCAAATCCGACGCAAAGGCTTTTCTGCTGCCCTGGGGCATAAAGACGTGAAGACTGCTCCCTGTAAGACTGAAGAACACCTTCAACGAGAAGCGGTTGAACCAGCCGTTTTACCTGGCAGCAGGCTTCGTCGTTGTGGGCTCTTCTCTCTTTTCCCACAATAATCCACCCAACCACAAGCATGCATGCAACAGCACAATTGAATTGAACCCAACAATAACACGATGACAACCTCATCTGCTGATGCCAATCAACAACATGGAGAGGAAGCCCTCCAGATGTCGCAGCCTGGAGAAGTACATGTTGTAGAACAGCAAGATGAAAAACACTCTGCGGACAGAAAGGAGCGGGAAGAAGATGGAACTACCAGTACCAGTACATGTTGTAGGAGTCCTTCTGCTGACAGCCAAACTGAGAATGATGAAGAAGAAAAGTCATCATCACCATTGTTACCACTTTCTGTGACTATGCAAGCAGAACCAAGGCTCATGGAGATATCCAATCAAGAACGGGATTGGGCCTTACGAATCAAGCGCACTGTGGAAGCTGCACCTGATCTAGACAATCTGCCAGACATGATGTATGCTCATTTGGCAATATTCGCACAGGGAGACTTGGATTGTGCTGTGCATCGCGTCTACAACCTTCAAGAGTACAAAAAGGAATACAAAATTCTCGACTCAACCGCACAGGCCAACCGGTTATTCAAGAGATTCTTGTTTGACCATTTTCCGGCTTTTCTGCTCAACTTTGATTTTCAGCCAGAGCTTGGGCACTCTTTGTTTGTTTTTGATTTTACAAAAGCAGACAAACACTACTTTAGGTGCCACAGAAAATTCAGTGAATTCTTGCACGTCTGTTACTACTTTTGCCAGGCAATGTTCCCAAACTTTGAGGTTGTCCGGAAAGGCCATCTTCAAATTGTGGAGTGTGAAGGTAGGTTTGGCTAGAATAGCAGTACTTCCCATGTCTTTGTTTTTATGTACGGTACACCCACCACTGGATGAACAAGGCAAGAATTTCTTCTCACTCATTGATCCATTCAATTCTACCGTTTCGCAGGATTTGACCCATCAAAGAATATGGTGGATGGCAAGATTTTCACCCGTGTATTATCAGAAATACATGGCTCTTATCCTACGGTTTATGCTCAACTGTGCATGTACCATACACCAATGTCATTCAATTTGATGGTAGCTCTGGCCAAGAGATCACTTCCCATTAACTTGTTGTCCAAGTTGAGTGTTGGGTGTACTTTTCCAGGCCGTCTGGACCAGTTCTATGGACTCCCCACACTTGAGGCTGCCACTCAGCGAACGTTTAATAATCTCAATGAGGCACTGCGAATTCGATATGAGAATGAAAGGACGTTTAGGCTTGGATGATTCGATTCTGTGAGGTGGTGGTTACCTACAATAAACTTGGTGTTCCAGCTAAACAGGGGAGCCAGAGCAGACACACAGCCTTTGGCCACAAGGTACTAGTAGAGCATGAAAGGGACAACGGTTTCTGGGAAATTCACTCGAAGATCTATATGATTCCAGGATATTCTACCTACTACCGGTACGGATGCTTGGCGTGGCGTTGACTAATTGGCCATTTTACACAGCCTCCCGCCTTGCTTCGGACGTTTCGATTTCTGCCACGATCTCATCAATGCACTTGTAACCACAACCAAAGTCCCGCTGATAACATTCTTGTCGAGCTCGTTTTGGTTGAGGCTGTCCGCTTTTGGAGCAAGGAAATTGTACGTGTGGAGCACATTGTTCTTTTTCTCGTTTCTGAAGCAGTCGGTATCGCTCCATCGCAACGTCAAACCGTTGCCGTCCCAAGCGTTCAATCGTCAAATCTAGACTACGATTGGCAGCGGCATGAAGTAGATAATCCCCGTAGTTTTGAGCTTTCCAATCGTCCGACTCGAGGTACTCCTTGACGGCAGGACTGGCAAAGCTCTTGGTAAGAGACACGCATTGATGTCGGGGTGGATCGTAAAAGTACGACCCCGCCACCTTGGAAGATGTCACTAACACATCGGCCACATCAATCCCCAACAGCAACGACAAGGCCACGAGTGATTCGTCCATACGTTCCACTACCAGCATGAAATCATAATCTTGTTGCACCATTCGTTGGACCCGCTCTTGAATGTCTTCTGGGTTTTTAACACGAATTCTATCCTTGGGCGACCAGGCACTAAAGTGTGGTATTTCTTCCAGGGCGGCAAATTGCATGGTAAAGCCACCTTGTCCGTCTTGAATGGATCCATATCGTCCCGAAAAGTGCTTCAATCGATCCAGTATCCACTCGTCGCTGTATTCGCCCCCGTCAATGGAAATCTCGATAAAGAAGAGATAGCTCAAGACACGTGATGCGGGATCTCGAATCGACGTAAAGAGGAACGAGTTTTGTTGGTCCCGGTGGGCATAGGTCGTCCCCGGCTTGTGTTGCCACTGGAGTGCTTGACACTTGTGTCGGTTGGCAATTCGAAGAGCAACCCCGGCCGACGTGGACGAGGCGGCTTTGGGGACTTTCACCAAGATCAACCCTTCCTTGTTGGGACGCTCTGCCTTGGTGTCTTTGCACCACTGGCTTTGGTCAGTTCGATCTGGAAATGCCCGGGCCAGGGCTTGACCTTGTGTCTGCATACAAGTGGTGGTAAGGCAGGCAGTCTTGGCGTTGCTGCTGCTGTTTGTGGCTGACATGGAAACGGATACCGCAGTGGTGCTTCGCTTGTGGCTTTGTGCGTGTCGCTGGGGATGCATGTTTCGGGTGATATCACTCTCCCGATCCTCTTGCTCGGTTCCGTAGAGCCCACCAAACTGGACGGGCATCGTTTTAGCTAGGAATTCTTCGGAAAAGGCCAGACTGCGAGCATCGGATGATAACGGTGACAAGACCCAGTCCGCAAACTTGGCGGTCGGATACGACAATGCAAGCATACCCATCACCCAGAGTCGGCTACCGGTAGCACGATGAGTGCCGGAAGCCCTCTTCGTGGACGCAGCTGGCGATACTGTTTGTTGTTGGTTTGCCGCTGAAGTTGACTCCGTTGGTGTCTTTCCCCGTCGACACGATGCAGCATTGTTTGTAGTCATGGTTGCTTCCACAGCACAGTACTTTCTAATCAATGATAGCGCTTGCTCTGCGGTGGTGCGAAGAGCTCTCGAAAAAACGAAGTTGTCTGGAATCCAAGAGGTGCGCGGTGAGCTGGATCCGGCCAGGGGGGGGGGGGGGGTGCGCCTTGGCTGTACCTGTGGCGGTACCATGGTACTCACAAAAAGCTGCTGTTGGAGCCGCTTGTACCTGGTGGTACGAGTGAACGGGAGTAATAAACTACCATTTGGTTAGAGTGCTGGACTATGGACTCCAGAGGGGTGTGCAGCAATGCAGGGGCTCGAACCTGACTGTCAGGGGTGAGCAGACCAAAAGGAGGCAAGGATCGCAAGGAAGGAGACCGGGAAAGTGGTACCGATAGAGGACGGACTCTAACGATAGAGATCCAGTACCACAATTGTCCCAATTCTGGGAGCTCATTGTAGAAGCAGGAGCACCAGAACCACAAACACATGGTACCAGGTAGCTGCTCGGGCAAGGGCTATGCTCAATCGGGCGGAAACATAGAGCGAACCACAAAGATTGACTTGGACGACTTCTTAGCCAATACCTGGATAGCCATTGGAGAACAGTGGTAGCTTCAGCAGCAAAGATGTCATCCTCAGAAACAACAAAGGGAGTGAAGTGTCCGCATTGTGCAGTGCACTGACTGAGCCAGGCACTGACTGAGCCAGGAACATGGTCTTCGATGGAGGCGTCGTTCTCAATCTGCTAGACTACGAGAATTTACCACAACTGTGACCGACTTCCAAAGTCAGTCACAGTCGATCAAACTTCCTGCTCCTACCAACGAGCACATTGCGAAGCACCTTATCGGAGGGACAGGACCTTGAATTGCCCGATTAGTCTCGCAAGAGCGGTTTTGTCCCATTCATGCTCTGCAGGTACCTTCGAGCTATCAATAACTGCTGTATTCTGCTCCCAATCTTTGGGTACCCGTACTGAGGCAATTACAGCAGAACCAAAACTCGATTGTATCAACGCCGCACGGTACCACAACATACCATAGTAAAAAACTCTCTCTAATTCTAAAATCGAATTTGCAGTGCCTCATTGAGATGATTATCCAATATCCGCAGAGTGGCTGCCTCAAGGAGTGAATAGACTCGTCAAGACAGTCTGGAAAAGTGCACGCAACATTCAGCTTGGACAAAAGTGAACTGGCAGTAACTGCTTGGCCAGAGCTACCATCAAATTACACCATTGGTGTATGATATATACATACACACCTGGACAAAACTTGCAGGGTAGGAGACATGGAAGTCTGATATAGAAATCTTGTCTCTGTGTTGCCATCCACCATGCTCCTTGAAGGGTCACACCCTATGTAGCAAGCACAACCAGACAGGATGATGAGAGGAAAGAAATTGCCATGTTTGCCCAGTGGTGGGCGTGACAAGATAAATGCAAGAGCTGCAATTCCAGGCTGACCTTCACACTCAGCAATTTGGAGATAGCCTTTCCTGGCAACCTCGAGGTATGGATACATGCTTGGGCCATATTCTGTAACCACTGAAAGAAGTTGCCGGTTTGGTTTTTGCGGGGCACCTGAAGATGCAGTTGTCCACTGTGGTGAGATCAAAGACAAGCAAATAGTTTCCAACCTCTGGATCAAAATCAAAGTTCAGCAGAAAATCAGGAAAGTGGTCAAACAAACTTGTAGAGGAATTTCTTGAACAACCTGTTGGCCTGTGCTGTTGAGTCGAGAATATTTGATTCTTTTTGTACTCTTGATGGTTGTAGAACTGATTCACAGCACAATCCAAGCACCCCTGTGAGAATATGGCCACATGATCATAAAACATGTCTGGAAGGTTGTCCAAATCAGGGATCACTTGATTTGCAAGGCCCCAATAAAGTTCTTGATTGGACCTCCATGAGCTTGGTTCAGCTTGCATAGATACAGAAGGTGGCAAGGATGGCGACTGTGACATTTATTCTTCATCTTCACCTTGGCTGTCAAAAGGAGAATCTTCTTCACCTGGCCGTCTTGCTGGAACTGCTCCAGAAGATTTCTGCGAGCTGGAGCTGTGGTTGCTGGTTGTTGATTGGCATGAGCAGATAAGGCTGTCATGGTTGTGCATGTCCTTTGTTCTGTTGCTGGTGGATGCTTGTGTGCTGGATGAGAGGCAAGAACACAACAATGCCGCCCGTGTTCAACAATCGAATTCATATGCCCCCTGGGTCGTCTCCGTTTCCAGTGTCTACTAATACAGGATAATGGTGAATAGAATCGAATGAATCATGTGGCTTATATTTAGGGTTTAGGTTTTGCAATTTTGAAGTCAACGTGTGTTAAGTGGAGGGTTGGCTCGCTTCCGCTGGGAGCTTGGCGTCTCTTATATATCCCTGTGTCCCGCTCTTCGTGGAAATGGGGTATTCGGTAACTAGGATCGTTGGAAGTTCGACAGCTTTCTTCATACCTTGTGGAGTGTCATCATTCCTGATTTATATTCGCGAGGTGACACTTATGGCCGACTGGTTCGTGGAAAAGGTGTGACGGGAGATGACGTATTTGGGTGCATTGGAATGGGATTGATTTGCAATAATATTGGGAGGTCCAGTATTGAGGATTGAAAGTGAGGGCACGGGGAGTTTTATACGGTAAGCTAACTGTAGGAGACTTACCACCACTTCTCCTGCTGGTGCTTTCCAAAAGTTCCCAATGAAGCTGCCTCAAAAGTTCATAAGCCGAGGGGTAATCAACTAAAACACATGGGGAAGGGACCAATGGGTAGCTTGAAGCACTGGTGAAGTAGAGTGGGGGCAGGGGATGGTGTGCGTGCGAAGTGGCTTGTAATAATGTCGCGACGGGCACCAGTGATAGCCCGCATGCGACCGAAGTCCGAGCACCTCCAAGGTTTTTTCGGTGAAATCAAAGGACGTAAGACGTGAAGGCGGGAGTTGACCACGGGGCCAAATAGAGTACACATGGCCCTTGACGTCCTTGAGGAATTCGGAAACAGTGCGGTATTCGCCTTTATCGATCCAAGAATCCGTCACTAGGTGAGTCATGATGTCGAAGTGGGTGATCAGCTCACACCAGGTGTCATGGACCTTATACCACTTGTCCTGTTCGACGAGAACTAGGAAGGGTTAATCCTTCTTTGCCGGGTCATACACGTATTGCATGTAGGAAGGTTTAAAGGTTTCATTGAAACACTTCAAGGCCATTTCTGGTGTTGGGATCTGTGGTAAGAAACGTTCACCATTTTGTTCGTCAACTTCACCTTTGGGGCACATGATAACAAATCCTCTTTGGTCATAAGAATTACCGTTGGTGGCCTCGTAAATAAGGAGCCTTTCCCCATCAGCAGAAGAGGGGTACACCAATTTGAATACCAACTCGATCATGTGCTTGTAAGCGAGGGCTTGAACAAAGGCCAACATGTCTTTGGGATTAACGCCGTTGACGGAGAGGTATCCCTTTGCCGTTCGGGTTGTACATCACCCGGTAGCTCTTTTCATACAAACAGCCTGTGAAACTGAGGAACATTCCGGGGAAGAGGTATTCTTCGTCTTCCTAGAGGTTGCTGGGAATTACAGCATGGAACTCACAGAAATTGAAAGGACCTCTTGCCTTATGTTGATACGCCATGCCTTTTCATTCTTGCTCGTAATGGATAACTCGCGCCATGGCCAAAAAACAGTAGGATGGTCGATAGGCGACCGATGTGCTAGTTGAGTCAGAGAGTGGTTGGGCAAGGCATGGGGCGAAGGACGTTCCTTGACACTGAAAAGTGCCGAAAAGAGGAAGGTCGCATGGCCATTGAGAGTTGAAAAGGACAAACAATTGCTCAAACCAAAAAGAGAAAATAGAAGTAATATAACGGCCGGCAGAGAGATATCAGGCGTATGGGTGAGCGTGCTAGCAAGGATGAGGGAAAACCTGTATTTGAAGAAGCGTTTATGCTAACCGATTTTGATCGACGTTCAAAATGAATCAGAATTAGCATATATTAGGATAATGGTTGCATATATCACATTTTCAATGCAAAAGATAAGTATATAATGAGAAAGAACGGTGCGTGTCGTCGCCACTGAGTGTAATCGCGGATAACAGATATGAAGCGGCAATCGTGTAAGCCTGCATTATGTAATCCTAATAGCTGAAAAACAAGTAATCAACTTGTACGAAGGGAAGGGCTTGCCAGCTTTAGGAAGTCCGTGCACGATAGATTCTTCGCTAGACAATCGGCACAGTCTTCCTGGAAAGATGCGATTGAATAATTAAGGATCGTAACCGGTAGACACTACGAACACACGGTGGATGGGAGTTGTGTGAAAACTCGGGTCACCTTCAATGTTGCTTAGCCCGGCAGTGAAATGAGGAGGTATATGAAACGGTGCATATAATGATTTTTTATCTTATCCACCAGATGTGTAGAGCGGGCCCTCACGTTTTTTGATTTTCGGGGTATAGTTCATCTAAGTGAAAATCACAGCGAGATGGGAGGGGGGCGCGGATGTAAATGAAAGACTTGGGATTTACTTAACGATCTACATGACAGATTAGGAAATGTGGTGCTACTGGTTTCGCTGAAATGTATAAAGATTTGTCACGCTTTTTTCACTGTGTGGTTGGGTTTAGATAGCTTGATTGCCTTGCAGTGAAGTCAGCTGATTTATCGTGAAAATTGGATCGAAGTATAGATAATAGAGTAGAATTTTGCTTCGATTACCAAGATGCATACAGCGAAAGTGTCTGTTCTAAGAACTGTGGAAGATAGTCTTCGTTCTCACCAAATCCTAATGGCAGGATGTTTTCCTCTACCGCATTCAGTGCTTCGTAGGGAGCCTCTTTTCTTCTTGGTAGCAGCTTCCATGTCCATGTCCAACTTTGAGCCTTTTGATATTATCGGCAATGTCAAGACCTTGGAGTGCGTTCAGGCTAACATCAACCTTCGGTATGACAATCTGATTATGATGGATCCATGGACCGAGACGTTTACGCCCTATGACTGCTCGGTATGCGATGAAAACATCATGAATGAAAACAATGTGGAATAGTTGTTCTTCGATCAGTTAAAAAAGGTTCAAGAACATCTAAGTTGGGACAAAGTCTTACAAGATCATCCGAAGTACCGTTGTGAAGCTGCTGAAGACTGTTTATCCACGAATAGGTATTCACGGCCTTTTAGATGCACACCTCTGACGAGGGTTCCTGAAGATGTCCGATCAGAGCGTTGGAACTGGCGCCTTTCCCACCAAGACGTGACGTTTACGGAAAAAGCGCAACTCATAAAGTCGTAAATGGGGCATATCATGTTGCAAAGGATGTCACGTGAAACTGAAGAAGGGAGAAGCGCGGGTGAAAATACGCACACTAATATGACTATTGTCACACAGCAACTTTTGTTGAATGTCACGCGAGTCATACGGCGTCACACGGAATTATACAGAAGTCGAAGAATACACCATTTATTACGGGCTTCAGCTAGAAAAATCTATCTGGGTATCGGGGGTTTTCGTAGGAGTGACGAAGATACAACCTTCGAAGAAGGGGTCATCGATGACCGTTTATGTCGGAGTAGAGCTACCATATATAGTGAGATCGGCGATTGCAACTGTATGGCGAATCGGAGCAACATCTAGCAGGACATATAGGCCTCGCAACATTCGATAGGAACGTAGTGAACGACGGGTGCTAGCCCAGGTGAGAAGTGACTCACCAAACTCGACACCAGAAACAAAAAGGCCAACTACGATAGATTGACGAACCGTACCAAAGTGATCAAATGAGTCGGCTGTGGACATGGATAGTCACCAGAATATACGGGTGAGAGCGAGAACGCATCAGTGACCTACTTGGAAAGCTACCGCAGAGAGTTAGAAGGTGTGACACCTGTGATTAGTGAGTATGCATTATTCGCAGGTAAAGAAGTCGGAGACTGCAACAGGTTACCGATGGACAAACCAATCCCGATACTTTTCTAAGCTCACACGGATGACCCGAGATGGATGCATGAGAGCGATCGTGGTAGACCGCGTGTGGCATCAGACGTAATTGGAATTTCGTAACGAGCGACTTGTTCATACGACGAGTTCCAGGAAGAGCAAGACGAATAGGGTTCGATTTACAGACTCCATGCTAGTAGTGTCTTCAAAACGCTTCTTAAAGCACGGCATGGATTCGTATGCTGATTGTATTCAGGTGGTTCTGTCTTTTTGCGCAGTAATGCGTCCCGAATATCTGCCGCAGAGAAGTAGAAGAATCTAGAGCTGCCATGCCGGATGGGATACCGCGATAGTTGGAGGAACGGGGCGAACACAGAAGACTTCCAGGCGCACTTTTGTCAGCTATCCCAACCGGAATTTCATACACCTATGTTCCAGTTGGATGTGTATAGTATTGGGACAATAATCCGACTTTTCAAGAGGGCCCGACTTCAGTTGAATGGGAAGTTTTCTGCAAAGCAATTGCGGAAGGTCTAGATGGAGATGACGTGTCTAGGGTTATATCAAGTCGAAGAGCATGGAATTATCAAGCCGGGTTTACTTCAAGCAAGTGCATACTGGATGCCGTAAATGCTATCAACAAAGCACTGCCCCACACAAAATAAGCAGCCAAGTTGGCTAAAGGTACCGATGGTAG